AGTGAAATATATATATATATATAGATATACAGACATATTTTACTAAAATAAACTACTACTTACTTGGACTACTATTCCTACTTTGTGGTTTTTCACTTATTGCGGGGCTTCATGGTATGGATCCCCCGCAATGAACAAGGGACTACTGTATTAACTTCATCCAGAGGTACAAAGGATCAAGTTCAGCTGAATCTGACAGCATGTTTGCAGATTATAATGAGTAACAAGTAAATTAGTTTATGTCAGGAGTCAAATAAAACTATACTAAACTTCTTCTTATTCTTCTTCACAGCGACTCATCCTCCTCCATCTCACTCCAACCACCTCCATTTACCCCAGAACTATTTATACTAATAAAGCTGGATACTATCACTGCTATCTTAAAACAACTCCAAATCTACAAAATTTTATAGCAAACCATAAGGACCATAGAATTAAATTTTGTAAACCATATTCAGTTTTACATGGCACATTTACTGTGGCAAAGATTTTATGAACAGTTTCCCAGAAGTGTTCAAACTAGCTGCTTGGGTTTACAAATAAACATAATGTCATGTAAATAACTGAATAATGCAAAACTGATGGTGATCTAAATGTTTATAAAATAGCAATTTCACGAACCGCTCAGAAACGTTTGAGATTTGGAGCAAATCAAAAACTGCAGAAATCCACTGGCTGGGTTCAGTCTAGCTCCTACTTGCTCATCAGCCATGTTGGACTGAATCCTATAACTATAACTTTTCTACTCCTTCAGGACTGTGAAGCTGAGATGGTAATATTAGTGTAAAACTTAATCCCTTGTAATAAAAAAAAATGAATTTGAAAAATATTGTAGTTAGAATCTGATGTAGTTTTAAGGAATTTCTGTAACTATTTTAGAACTAAATACATGCTGCTCATCAGATTTAAGTTTTACCTGTGGGTTTAGTTAAGATAAAGAAAACGATGAGTGTGCAGGAATTTCATTTCTCAATGGGAAGCTGGTTTCTCGACTGCCAGCTTCAGTCAGTGGAGTGGGGTTTCCAACAGGAAGTGCTTGTCTCTGCTCAGTGGCACAAAAATTGTCCAGGACATTCTGAGTTTGACACAGGACCGTGTAGTTCCATGTCTGCTTGATCGCTCTTGTTGTCTCATTACCTAATCAGGGGTTTTCCTTCCATGGTTTTATTAATGACATGCCTGTCTCATGCACGTGAACCTCCGTGTGGATCATGCTTGACTTTACAAACTTGGACTCCCCAATTTGTACCAACGTGTGGTTGGATGTACTGTATATCTTATGAGAAATAATAAAAATTAATTAATTAAAAACCTGTTTTTGAAGCATTAAAATGCAAACAATATTCCTGTTGAGTAGATTTTCAGTTATTGTTGTGGGAACTGACCACACTGGGTCCATTAAAGGCTTTTCTGCAGCATTTTTAATACGCAACAAACACTGTTATTATGTTTGTGTTAGTGTTGCTCTCATGCTTTTAGACCTGACAAACATAGAACTGACTCAAGGGTTAAAATATTTTTAGATGCTTCCGTTCTGCATATGGCTCATTATACGCTTGTTGAAAAAGTATTATACTTGGTAAAAGCAGATGGCCGCTTGTCCTGAGCCTGGTTCTGCTGGAGGTTTCTTCCTTTTAAAAGGGAGTTTTTTCTTTCCACTGTTGCCACTGTGCTTGCTCAGGATGGGAGACTGCAACGAAGCCAAGATTCAAGTTGTCTGCTGGATTCCTTTATTTAGAGAACTTTACTACTTGACTTTTCTATGTGAATGTGCCTGTAAAGTGCCCTGAGACAACTTTGTTGTGATTTGGTGCTATATAAACTGAATTGAATTGAATTGAAACATGCATGTTTTTGAACTGTGGGAGGAAACTGGAGTACCTGGAGAAAACCCACAAACCCGAGGAGAACACACAAACTCCACACAGAATGAGCCCAGGTGCAAACCTGGGATTAAACCCAGGATCTTCTTGCTGTGAGGCAACAGTATAACCCCTAAGCCATCATGCTGCCCTGATAATCATCAATCCATCCATTATCTTTTACCCACTTCTTCCATTTTGGGTCACGGGGGTCGTCAGTGCCCATGTCCAGCAATCACTGTGCGAGGGGCGGGGTACACCCTGGACGGATCGCAAGTCCATCACAGGGACACATAGAGACAAACAATCATTCACTCTCTCACTCACACCTAGAGACATTTTAGTTACCAATCAGTCTAACATGCATGTTTTTGGTCTGTGGGAAGAAATCGGGAGTACCCATACCATACCATACCACTTTATTTATAAAGCACTTAAAACAGCGACAAGGCCAACCAAAGTGCTGTACAGACAGAACAACAGGTAACACACCAAGCAAAATACAAAATGAGGTAAATCAGAATATAGACAAAAAAAACGATGCAGATAATGACGACAAACCAGTGTGGAGCATACAGGTTCAAAAACCAGATCATCTTGTGTTGAAAGCTATTGAATAGTAGTGAGTTTTTAAACGGGACTTGAAAACCGAGAGGGAGGGGGCCTGTCTGACAAGCAGAGGTAACTCGTTCCAGAGTCTTGGTCCTGCTACAGAGAAGGCCCTGTCACCTCTGCGCTTAAGACGAGATCCTGGAACTGTGAGGAGCAACTGGTCTGCTGACCTCAGGGAGCGTGGTGGGACATACGGTTGTAGCAGATCAGAGAGATGGGGGGGCGTGACACTGTTCAGTGATTTGTACACATACAGGAGTATTTTGAACTGGATTCGAAAGTGAACCGGTAACCAGTGCAGTGAGGCCAAAACTGGTGTAATGTGCTCTCTTTTGCCTGTACTGGTTAAAAATCGGGCTGCTGCATTCTGGACCAGTTGTAGTCGTGCAATGGAGGTTTGACTGATACCAAACAGGAGTGAATTGCAGTAATCAAGCCTAGATGTAATGAATGCATGTATTACTGTCTCCAGGTTATTTTTGGACAATATGGGCTTCAGTTTAGACAGCCGCCTCAGTTGGAAGAAACATGATTTAACAATCATGTTTACAGCAGCATGAAACCATATATATATAGATATGATATAGAGAATAGGAGGGGACCCAGGATGGACCCCTGCGGAACCCCCCATTTAAGCTCTGTCTCTGTGGAACTGAAATCCTTGATGGAGACACAAAAGGATCTGTCAGCGAGGTAGGATCTGAACCAATTGAGGGCTGATCCTGTGACGCCCACCCACTGCTCTAACCTAGCAATGAGGATCTCATGGTCAATGGTGTCAAAGGCGGCTGTGAGGTCCAATAGGACAAGCAGCACAGAATCACCAGTATCAGTGGTTAAGAAAATGTCATTAAAGACCTTCAGCAGGGCAGTTTCAGTGCTGTGGAGAGGTTTAAAGCGAGACTGGAATAGCTCTAAGATGGTGTGACCTTCCAGGAAGCACTTCAACTGGGACTCGACTATTTTCTCCAGTACTTTAGAAACAAATGGGAGTTTGGAGACAGGCCGGAAGTTGGACACGACTGAGGGGTCAAGGTTTGTTTTTTTCAGGAGAGGCTGGACAGCAGCATGTTTAAAGGATTTTGGCACCACGCCAGTGGATAAACTACTGTTTACTATGGCAAGAATGGACGGACCTAGAGTGAGAAAAACCTCCTTTAGTAGTCAAGGGGGACCACATCAAAGGGGGAACCAGAAGGTTTCAAGCTGCACATGACCTGCTCTAGAGAAGATAGAGTGATGGGTTCAAAATGGTCAAATGGAGAAAACCCATGCATGCACAGAGAGAACATGCAAACTCCACACAGAAAGGCCCCCGGACTAGGATTTTAATCAGCAACCTTCTCACAGAGAGGCAGCAGCTCTACCAGTTGCACCGTGCTGCCCCCCTGATAATCAATCAAATCCAACATAATTCCAATGCTTCATGCAATATAACCTACCAACTTTGTAATGAACAGCGCCTTCCAGATCTCCTACTGTGGTCCAACCCTGTTTCTTCTCCACTTCTGGGTCGTTGTGCAGGATCTTGTTCCTCAGCCAGGACAGGTAGTACACTCGGAGCTTGTTCTTTTTACCTGATACAGATAAAGTGCAGAGGAAAGAACAATTTATTAATTTATTGCACCAAGCAAATAATACTTATATATCTCTACTGCTGTTTGGCCTAATCAAACTAAAGGGAAAACAGTCAAACTAGTGGAAAGTGAGCAACTAAGAGAGCCTTTTCACACATAATAAGGAGAAAATATATTAAAACTAGGCCCATCACTAGTCCTCATTCTCCAGTGTTTTGTTTCAGGTTGTTAAATAAGGCAGTTAGTGAGCATTTAGTCAAATTGAAAAATAAACTAAAACAAAAATTGCTTCCTCAATATATGGCGGCACTATGAGCAGAAACTTGCACTTTCCCCCAAAAAAATTATGTCAGCATGCTTTTCTAAAAGCCAGGTTACGTAAAATCGCACGTCTAATGTGCAAAGATGTTGTTTACACGGTCTCTTGGCAATCTGATGACATAAGAGCAGATGCTGTCGGGATGTGGTGTCAGAAATTATTTTTCACGACACACGAAAAGTATCCATGACGAGTTGTTTCACATGTCAACAACACAAACAAATTTCCTTCCATCATGGAAAGCTCAGGCTTGTGTCAGTATTACGAAGAATTCGCCCACAACAGCAGGGCTTTACTCAACATCCGCTTCGCTCAAAATATACGTTGTGACACTCATGAGAGCACTGCTTGTGTGAGTGGGTTATTGGGAAAGAGGAGAAGTAAGAGTGCAGAGGCACTTTCGGTCTGAGAACGTATGATTTAGAGCAGTCTGAAACTCAGGTGTGTGTGCAAACATGTGCTGGTGCTCTATTTTCAAACTCTGAACTCTTTACTGCCTGAAAATAAAAAATAAATAACAGGCAATAATGGTTTTGCCTGTATCTATATGAGCTTGTTTCTCTCGTTAGTAACATTTGTCATGAACCACTGGATGGAGCGGCTTGGTGGCACAGGTGGAAGAGATGTCATCTCTTGGTCAAAAGATTGCCGGATCAAATCCTGGCCAGGGACCTTTCTGGGTGTGCATGTTCTCTTCCTGCATGTGTGGGTTTTCTCCAGGTCACACTTTGCAAACATGCATGTTAGGCTGATTGGTCACTGTAAATGATCCCTAGGTGAAAGAGTGAATGGTTGTTTGTCACGTTTGTCTCGATGTGCCCATGCGATGGACTGGAGACCTGTCCAGGCCAGTGTTTCCTCTAGTTAACTTGCCATGGCGGGGTGCTCATCTCATCCATGATTTTTGTTGATGGGGGGGACGGACACAAGTCTGAGTGCAGCAGTTTTTGAGTGAGGCGGGGGGTGTTCAGCTTGAGGGAAGAGACAACGTGAGCGCTGCCTTTAGCTTTTTAGCTAGAGAGCTTGTATTTTGCGCCGCTAGCTTAGTGCTATGTCAGTGCCGGGTGGGTGGGTGGGGGGGCAAGCTCGGTTTGGTAGGCGAGGTGCTCAGTTCTGTTAATGGGGTGAGGCACCCCGCTTGAATAATGGTAGGGGAAACACTGCAGGGGGTCCCCCACCTCTCACACAGTGACTGCTGGATATGGGTAATAAGCGACCTCCATGACCCGGAACGCAAGAAGCAGGTAAAGATAATGGATGAACCACTGGACAGAGTTACACTGACAATACAGGTCCTTCTAAAAAAATTAGCATATTGTGATAAAGGTCATTATTTTCCATAATGTAACGATAAAAATGAAACTTTCATATATTTCAGATTCATTGCACACCAACTGAAATATTTCGGGTCTTTAATTGTTTTAATACTGATGATTATGGCATACAGCTCATGAAAACCCAAAATGCCTGTCCCAAAAAATTAGCATATCGTCAAAAGGTTCTCTAAACAAGCTATTAACCTAACCATCTGAATCAACGACGTAACTCTAAACACCTGCAAAAGATTCATGAGGCTTTTAAAAACTCCCAGCCTTTTTCATTACTCAAAACCGCAATCATGGGTAAGACTGCCGACCTGACTGCTGTCCAGAAGGCCATCATTGACACCCTCAAGCAAGAGAGTAAGACAGAAATAAATTGCTGAACGAATAGGCTGTTCCCAGAGTGCTGTATCAAGGCACCTCAGTGGGAAGTCTGTGGGAAGGGAAAAGTGTGGCAGAAAACGCTGCACAACGAGAAGAGGTGACCGGACCCTGAGGAGGATTGTGGAGAAGGGCTGATTCCAGACCTTGGGGGATCTGCGGAAGCAGTGGACTGAGTCTGGAGTAGAAACATCCAGAGCCACCGTGCACAGGCGTGTGCAAGAAATGGGCTACAAGTGCCACATTCCCCAGGTCAAGCCACTTTTGAACCAGAAACAGCGGCAGAAGCGCCTGACCTGGGCTACAGAGAAGCAGCACTGGACTGTTGCTCAGTGGTCCAAAGTACTTTTTTCTGATGAAAGCAAATTTTGCATGTCATTCAGAATTCAAGGTGCCAGAGTCTGGAGAAAGACTGGGGAGAAGCAAATGCCAAAATGCCAGAAGTCCAGTGTGAAGCACCCACAGTCAGTGATGGTCTGGGTGTCATGTCATCTGCTGGTGTTGGTCCATTGTGTTTTATCAAGGGCAGGGTCAATGCAGCTAGCTATCAGGAGATTTTGGAGCACTTCATGCTTCCATCTGCTGAAAAGCTTTATGGAGATGAAGATTTCATTTTTCAGCACGACCTGGCACCTGCTCACAGTGCCAAAACCACTGGTAAATGGTTTACTGACCATGGTATTACTGTGCTCAATTGGCCTGCCAACTCTCCTGACCTGAACCCCATAGAGAACCTGTGGGATATTGTGAAGAGAAAGTTGAGAGACGCAAGACCCAACACTCTGGATGAGCTTAAGGCCGCTATCGAAGCATCCTGGGCCTCCATAACACCTCAGCAGTGCCACAGGCTGATTGCCTCCATGCCACGCCACATTGAAGCAGTCATTCATGCAAAAGGATTCCTGACCAAGTATTGAGTGCATAACTGAACATGATTATTTGAAGGTTGGCGTTTTTTGTATTAAAAACACTTGTCTTTCATTGGTGGGATGAAATACAGGTCCTTCTAAAAAAATTAGCATATTGTGATAAAGGTCATTATTTTCCATAATGTAATGATAAAAATGAAACTTTCATATATTTCAGATTCATTGCACACCAACTGAAATATTTCAGGTCTTTAATTGTTTTAATACTGATGATTATGGCATACAGCTCATGAAAACCCAAAATGCCTGTCCCAGAAAATTAGCATATTTCAACGACTGCTCTAACCACTCAGCCACAGCCGCCCCCTATCTTGGTCTTAGTTTAAAACTCTTACAGGGATCAATGTGTATTTTTAAAACAAACACTAGTTTTTTTATTTTGATTGCAGAAGAATGTTTTTTCTCCGAATGAGCTACAAGTCAGAAAGAGAAATGGACTGGAGAAAAAACTAAACAAAACAAAAAAACTATTTGACAAAACTAAAGCAAATTAAAAGAAGAGAAACTCGTATTATAATATCCACTGCACTACAGTCTGTCTGCTTCTTCATTCCACATTAGTTAACTACAATGTTAAGTGTATAAATGCATGCCTCTGCACAGGTGTGTGTACCTGATATAGTGACGAGGACGTTGAGTCCCTCCAGGACATCCATCTGCTGGAAGCGCCGTCGGTTGATCAGAGGGTAAACTTTCCCCTGACCGCTGCGATCCAACAGCATCAGGCCGCTCTCTGTTCCCACCAACAGGTTCACTCCTGCGCACACACACACACACACACACACACACACACACACACACACCATGGTTTGCTTATGTCCAAATTGGGGGCGCATATTTTAACTACCTACCTTAGGGGACACCCCTTTCTGAATGGGTTAGGGACAAACTGCTATGTGATTTTTTTTACTCTAAATTTACAGAAAACAAATGTCACCTGAAAATTTTGTTTAAATCCTTTTTTGATAAAATTATTTTTTGCCTTCACATTGGGGACCAGGGAATTTTTAAGTCCACTTTGGGGACTTGAGTTTTACACAGATACACAAACTGATTAAAGTCACCTTTGGGTACCTTATATCCCTTTGGGGACTTTAATTCAATTCAGTTCAATTCAGTTAATTTATATAGCACCAAATCACAACAAAGTTGTCTCAGGATGATTTACAGGAACATTCACATACATAGAAAAGCCAATTAGTAAAGTTCTTCATCTAAGAAAGTTTTATACAGTTTTACACAGATACACAAACTGATTAAAGTCACCTTTGGGTACCTTAAATCCCTTTGGGGACTAGTCATTGTTTTATCTACAGCTATTTCAAAACATATGTAATATGAACAAAACAGTGTACTACAAATATGCAACCTTGTATTAGTTTATATTGACCTGGCCAGTTGTTCTCGACTTTTGAATTGGGGAAACCTTGCCTAATACAACCCTAAAAGAAATGTTGCACAATATACTGTACAAGCAGCAATGCAAATGTGAAGACATACAGAAAGTACTCTAGATCATCAAGATTAAAATTTCCTTTTATCTTTAAGAACTCTATTGTTTAGCTTTGTGCCAAAAGTAGTTTTTATTTTACCTTAATTTGGTTCATAGATCTGTTATCCAGTCTGAAGTTAGATAATCTGCACAAACTCAAAGACCACTGTTTGAACCAATTCTGAGCCACTTCTGTTAATGTGTGATCAACTCTGTTTTAGTTCACACAACATACTGACATAGTTGGGCCTCTGACATTGATGTTTTACATTTTACTTCTGCTCAAGCACAGCACTTGCATATGATTTTTTAATTGAATATTTATTTATTGAATATGTTTACAAGATGTTTTCCTAAAAAAGTATTCTTCTATATCACCCTCTTGAAATATTTTTTTTCAATAAATAAAAATCATAAATAAATGTATTTTCATTTTTTATATATATAAATTCTTCCTAATTTTTTGTAGTTTAATTTTTTTAACTAGTGACCAGCCTATTGGATTTTATGGACCTGTTTCAGGCTACAGATGATTGGTTAAATCACTATGTTTTATATATCAAAATATTTTTTCAAAATGTTTAACAAATTTATAGTCTTATTTCAGATTTGTTTAGTATTAAATCATGTGAAATTTGAGACTTAATGTCAGCCCAAGAAATACAAGCAAAAGAAAAATAATTCCAACAATAAAATGCTTAGCAACTTTTTACTAAATTTCAGAACACTGTTGAAATGCTCTGCAGTTCAAATAAATATTGGAAAAGAGCATGAGTCATCAGGACAGGCTTTGGGCAACAAAAATACACTTTCACTGGCTAAAAAGTGTTTTGTATTCAACATATTCATTTCAAGTATTACATCAAAACAAAAACTACAATCATTATTTGGCATACAATTCAATTCACACATTCAATTTTTGATACATTTTTTTAACACCAGTCTAGTTTCAGTCCTTAAGTGCATAGGGTTCTGCATTGACGCAAGTGTCTTTACCAACAAAAAAAGATAGTCTAATAACTTTTGAGGTAATTTTCAGTGAAATTGTTATGAATAGTTAGTACCTTGTCAGCTGTGACATCCATCATAGAGCACAAAGTATGTAGAAAATAGATGTCTTTGTCAAGGCTAGGCAAATGGTTAACAAACAAGGTGTTTTTTTATTCTATAAAACAACTTTCTCAAAAACAACACACTTGTGTCAAAGAATGCTACATTACCCAATATTAAACCCTTAAACTTTTGGATGGCACCATTTTTTGTTAATAAAGTTTGTCACTTTATTCTCAGTTGATGTCCATATTACTATGCATATGTTTGTGTGCAGAGCATAGATAGACCATGCATATACTACTGATGCGAAGGCTGCTGAATGTATTATTCTACCAGAAGATGAGCAAACTTTTGGACTGACTAAACGTACTTATCAGTCAGATTGATACATTTGCCACTTCATCATTACAGGCAAATAAAAGTTTATGCTCAGCATACAAACTGAAAAACTGTCATGCAAAAGTGCATTGAATTTAATTAACTAATGCAAATTCTTTCACATCTGTGTGTTATTTTTGAGGAAGTAGTTTTGCAAGTCTGAAAAAGAAAAAAGAAAAACTGGTACTCATTTGGCTACCCAGTAGCCTAATCCAGATGAAGACATAAGTCTTTCTCCATACTCTGTGATCCATGACTGATGTTTCAGCAAATAAGATACCAACTATTGAAAACTATTTTGACACATTATCACTTCAAAAAATGTTCAGATGATCCCTTTTCTGCTCAAACCTCAAATATTACATCAAGAAAAGCAGCAGAGAAGAAAGAGGAGGAAAAGGTGCTATCATTAAAAAAATCTACTTACTTGATTAAATTTAATACATGTCAAAATGTCTAAACTAGGCTGAAAATCACAAACTATAATAATTCTTTGGCACAAGCCAGTCTCTTCAAGGCAGTGATCCGGTTTCTGACAATTTTTTACCCAGTCCAGTTTCTGTCCTCAAGTACATTTGGCTCTGCTTGATGCACTGAAGGAAGTGTATTTTCTGAGGTACCTTGCATGTGTGGACGAAATTCATCATGTGTTTTTCAACCGCACGAACCTCTGTGTCTTCCCACTTATGTTTAGCATTCTCCCAGTTGCCTGTGAAGAACAAATGTAAAGACCATACTATTTTAAAAAAAATCAGTGTTTATCTAAAACATAGATGGCATACATTACTTCAGAACACTGCAAAAGCTGTGTATAAAAATATTGTATTCATGTTAAGAAAACCCCCACCCTACATTAGATTTAGAAGGGGTTTGGACAAAATGGATTCACAGTTGAATATTCAAATATTTTTACTAAATTACTAGAACTGTAGTCAATAGGTAGAAAGAAATTGTTGATGAAGATGATCATCATCATTCATGCTTCTGTCTGGTATCAGTTTATTGTAATTTTTCTCTAAGAATTCAATTGCAGCTCACATGAGGCAGAGAGGTGACAGCATGCTTGCAAAATGTAATACGTCTGCATATTTATAATATTTGTTTTTCAATTATCCTGTTTTTTTTCAATTCAATTCAATTTATATAGCACCAAGTCACAGCAGAAGTCATGTCAGGGCACTGAACAGAAACATATATAAAAATAATAATTCAACACTATTTATCTGAGGAGCAGACCATTTAAGTTTAACTCCATTGCAGAACTCTCATCTTGAGCAAGCACAAAGGTGACAGTGGTAAGGTAAAACTCCCTCATGAGGAAGAAACCTTTAGTAGAACCAGGCTCGGGACATGCAGCATCTGCTTTAACCAGCTGGGTTTGGTAGGAACAGGAAGGAGGAACAGATACATAATGGCAGGTCAAGAATCACATGATAGAAATAGTATCAAATGAAAACTATTCGATTTTAACAATTCATTTTAAGAAATTAGGTCAATTTGTCCAAGAAGAGATTGTGAGTACAGAGCTTCAGGGTGCCCTTCCCTTGAAGCTGACACACTCTATTCCTGCTACCTCGGTTGCTAGTGAGCAGGTTCTCGCCACCGCTGGAGATACCATCACTGCAAATTTTGGCAGAAAATTTAGATAAGCTGTTATTTTTGGCCAAAAATTTAAAACTCGACTAGTAAGATTGTAAACAGTCTGTTGCTGTTTATTGTTCTGGTTTTGATTGTTATTGTATTTATTAAGATTTTTATTGTTAGTATATATTATTGTAGAGTGCCGTTTATTTAAAATATCATCCAAATGGGTCGCTTTTATTTATTTTTATACATTATGTATTTTATGCATTGCTTACTTGGCATATTTTCAAAATAATTTAAGTTTTCATTTTGGCCATTTTTGCACCGACAATTAACCGAATCAAGCCCTCCTTGAAACTGAACCGAACCGAAATGTGATTTTAGCGTACCGTTACACCCCTACATAGAATGTATTCTTAGGAAGCAGTGAGTCAAAAGATTACTGTAACTCCAGTACTTCACAATGATACAATTGAGTGCACGTTTACTTCAACTAAGTTTAGAATACTTCAGTATAATCACTGCATGTTAACATCAAAATAAATTCAAAATAATGAACAGGTGCAGCTCAAAAAAATAGAAAATTAAAAAGCTATATACTGGAAACTTGTGGTGTCACCCCCAATCAGTTTATTAACTCAAATACCAGCAAAGTCTTCCTGAGCTTATAAAGGGTTTTCCAGTTTGGTCAGTAGGCTACACAATCATGGGGAAGACTGACTTGATAAATGTCCAAAAGCCAGTCATTGACACC